GCAACCTCTTCTGGAGTGTTTCGACTCCAATCGAAAGCGCAAGGGGATTCGTCGTATCGGCCGAGGGCAGGCGTCTCAGTTGGAATTCGGCCAGATCCCGGATTTCGAAATGAGTCAAGTATATTTTGTCGATCGAGATCTGTGGAGAGTTCTCAGCTCGGTCAGTGTTCAGTCTAGTCAGAGGGAAACCTTCGTCCCAGATTCCTCCTGATCGTTTCCGGGACTCACCGTTATCCTCACTCTGCACTCCACAAAGGGCGATCTGAGCTGAAGCGACCCTACGAGATGGATCATCGGAACCTCGATGAACCCCTGGGCTCGAACGTTCCAAAGAGCGAAATCAGACTCGACGACGACTCTGTCATCGAGTACAGCCACAGTCGCCGGGCCGGATCGGGAGAAAGATTCGAGACCGTAAACGTTTATCTGGGGAATATGTATGTCTTATGCGATCTTCTCGCTTGACGATCATTCTTCATTGACAATCTCCATGATTCGACAAGAGAGACGGCGTCGGAGCCTCAGGCATGCTCTGGCCAAGTCGGAGTCTTTGTGGAACCAAGTCAGGAACTGAAATTACCCTTGTCAGCCTTGCATGACCAGAATACACGTCGCGGATCTTCATCGGAGATATTATCGAAGACACCACATTCAAACGTTTCACTCTGGCGACGATTTCATCCAGAATTCCGTCAGCGTTCCCTCTCTGTCGGACTGGAACGAGAAGCATGATGATGGCGGATGTTCCGTCGAGCTCTCGTGTCATCGAGCAAAGCGAATAGACTCACATGCTAGAAGCCTCCGGGTCTCGTTCGTGCCGAGGAGGTTCGCAGCCGACGTACTCAAACAGTGGAAACAGAAGAGCAGAAAAATTCCCTCCATGTTTGTGCACGCTCGAGGCCCAGCCTGATTATGATATCGGAACCAAGAGCTGCTTGAGAGGTATAGGCAGACCAAGATACTCCGTCCTCTCAACTGTCTGAATCTCTCCGCTGAGTGAGTTTTCCAATCACGCGTGGGCAAACTATGAGAGACCAGTCCTCTCGATTCATCGTAATGGATTCTACTCACCGCGGCTCGGATCTCACCGGAAGCGTCGGTATGCGTTGAGTGCAGCGTACGCGACCGAGTTACCGGTCAACAGTGGTGTATTCGATTCGATAACCGCTCCGAGTTTTTCGATCCCAAAATTTGTTTGATTAGCTGACTGGGAGAGACTTCGTCCATGCCGGTCGCCTGCCTCTCTGTCCGACACCATGTGAATGATCCACTTGATTTCGCAGAGGGGTATTCCCTCTACCAGTGACGTGCTCCGTGGACGCGGCCGCCCTCGGAAGGCCAGTCGCTAGAGCCTGAATCTGGGGTACGATTCGGCGGTTGGGACTTCTGTCTCACTCGACGGGCGACAAGAGGAGAGGACCAGATAATAATGAATCATTAAATAAAATACTGAATTATGATAAAATAAAGTAGAATAAAAATGAACTTTGACCTCCATCTTCCGCCATGGTGGCGTTGGTAAGACTGGCCACCCAAATTTTGCCTCCTTGAAGTTAGGTGAACGGTCTGAGAGGATCATGACAAGGATCATCGCAACTAGATTCGCCCCCTTGTGGGTCGGTCTTCTTCTTGACGGCGCGGCGTTGTTCCGTCGCGAAGCCTCTAACCGACTTTCCCCCGACCGAATTATATCAGTGTTCCGTACGAACGAAGAACCGCTCCGTTTCCCGGAGAGAGAATACCGGATCGGGGGAATTCCAGGTGGGATCGAATCACTCGCCATTGAAATCCAAGTCATCTAGAAGTGAACACATTATGTATTCCTCGGGTGTCGAGAGCATTTTCGCTGGTCGCTCGGCACGGCTCCAGACATGGTGTCGATCTGGTTGAGCGTTCGCCATAGAACAATCGCCAGAGTTCACCGGAATATTCGCCGAGCGATACGTGAAATGCGTCTCGGTGCTCAGATAACATGTTCTACGGAGAAGTCCCAGGGAGCATCTGCCGATCGAGGGCACGGGTAGGCAGTGTCTTCGCGGAGCATTGCCACAATGTCATGGTTGAAATTCTCAGCTCGTTCCGAGAGACCGGGGAGAGATCCAATGGATCCTTCAGTATCATATCTCGCGGAAGAATGAGAGGGCAACTCGACGGCCAAGCCAACGCGTATTCGAGAACTTCATGCTACGAACGCGTACCGAGGAGAAAACACTCAAACCTGAGTGCTCGGCAAGACGACTTCCCTTGGACAGGTGGATATGTTTGTCGTCACCGAATATGTGGTCACAACTCTGGACGCGATCAACAAAAGTCGCTCCCATCAAGGTTTCCGCGAGCGGCCACCTCTACCGAGGGAGCGAAGGGATGATTCGCTCAGAATGGTGAGGATGCCCCGGTCCAGTGATCCCGGAGGAATGGGGCAGCTCGACGACCGACAGATTTCGCCAGCGGCGAAACCGACGGAATTTGCCTCGACACAGAAGAGAGCACTTCCCAAATAAGGACCGCGAAAACAGTGACACCGGCAGAGATGTGTGCAACTCGGGAATCCATCAATAAATGAGTCGCCGCGAGCGCCTGTCGGCTTCTCGGTGGAGACATCATGGGTCTTTCTTTTGGCGAACTCGTTTTATTATTTCCAGGTCCGTTCCCTGCTCCGTCACATTTTGAGTGATTTTGCGAACGCATGGCCTGCGGAAGGTCCTCCCGCATGGACTCTTGCTGTACATGCAAGTCATACCTGACACGGAAATTCCAACCCGAGGCGCGGAAGTCCTCCAAGGCGGAGGCGGTTCAATGCCAAGGACGCGAGCATGCTATCAACATCGTTGATGCTTCATTCATGAGAAACCGGAGGGATGCCAGACCAAGGGAATGCTCGGTCGTCGACTCTTCCGAAACTTCCCTTGCGCTCACATGTTCCACTCCTGGAAATCCATCGTTCCGTTGGACGAAGTTTCCCGCGAGCAGGAGGCTGTGGACTCGATATTTAGAGACTCGATAGCCTTATAGAAAGAATCGGTGAGCCAAAACGAATGATTCCGGCGGAGCGTGCCCAATCTAATCGGAAGAATGTCCGACGCCGAGCAACTCCAACAGTTTTCTGAAAATTGTTCGTATCACGTGGGGTCCGGCTCGTTCCGCGATCGTGTAAACAATCGTCATTTGTGCGGTACCGACATATCCGGAACGGCCTTGATTTTGAGTTACAATTAGGGCCAGAAACGATCGATGCCCATGGTAGGCAGCGAGTTCCGGAGTTGCGTGACGTCATGAGCGACTAGAGATTTCATGGCCAGATCCACTCCCGGTCGAAGTTGCAGTCCAGACGTCTGATTCGGTTTCGATGATGGCATCGTGATTATTCGGAGCATTTTGCCCGTTCCGACTATTTGGCGCTCCGAGGGAAAACATCCTTCTGGAGCCTAGTCTCTTTTGCGCTCTATGAGTGCGAACCACTTGTCGCGCTGATCCTCGACAAAGCCTATCAAGCTTTTCCGCTTATTGGCTTCCTCGGCGACTTCGCATGCGTTCAATGGAGAACTCCGACGGCGGCGTGTTCGAGAGATGGAAATGTTGCCTAGTGCAGTCGTCACCGTCCCTCCCTAGTTCAGCTCGGAATAGCTCCATCTTCTATCCCCTTTTCGTGAGAGCTATCGCCATGGATTCACCGAACGGAGACTTGACGAATTCGATCTCAACACCGCCGACCGCTTTCTCAGATGCGGGTCCGCAGATCTTCCATCGCCGTTACCTCTGCCACGCACTCAGTCGTCACCCTGTATGGGTAATTCCGCGAAAAGCCGAGGATTTGTATTCTTAGGAAAAACTCACTATCAGGAGCGTTCTAACAGAAACTAGTGTGAGGTTCTTAACTAGATAACGAGTCAACATGAAGAAATCGATATGTCATGTCATCCGGGGACTAAAATATCGTCAGTTCCGCGCATTGCCCCGATTTGCTGCGTCCTCTTTCATACGACTGGACCCGTGACTCACATGATATCTCCGTCGCGGAGATTCCACATGGATCATCGATGATTCAATCGACGCGTAGCCTTCCCGGTGGCACCGGACGGTGGAATCAGTGAACCTGACTCGAGAAGCCAAATACGGATCAAAACGAATTTTGTGGCGGCGCGAGCGGGCCGATAACTCACACACAGGGGACGACCTGACGTGGTCAAGATGAGCGTAGGAGGATCCGAGTTGACCCTATTGTCAATGAAGCGAAGTCGCTGTCATCTTGGTGGGATTAATAAAAGCCTGAAATATATGTCGGCTAGACTCGGAGTATGTATGACATCAGCGAGGAGATCGAGCTCCATGGGACGCGGCTCAAGCCAAGTTCTGCCGGTGGAAGAAGCATGAGAGCATCCTGATTCCTCATGAACGAGGGCTTGATAGGCTCGACGAGAGACTCCATCACAATCATTCATGCTGCGAATCCGTTCACATGGACAGCGGGGTTGGCTCCCAGTAAGCCGAAAGTTTCTTGCCGAAACCCGGAACGCAATCTACGAGTTGCACCGCCCCGCCGGCTCGTTTTGTGTGCCGTGAACGTAGCGGGACATCTTGAGCACGAAAGCACAAGCGCGCAGCGCTCTCACGAGTGAAGCGGCTGTTCCCTCGCGATTACGGAGATAAGCTTGGAAAGAGAAGTGAATTTCGAGAAAAAAGCTTTTTGTATTCCTTCGGAACGTGTGATCGGGATTTCCGCCAGGAGGAATCTTCGGCTTACTGGGTTTCGGCTATCTCAACTTCCGGCGTACTGGGTTTCGGTTAGACGAATTTCAGCGTTCGGGGTTTCGGCGTGGAAGTTTCGGCTTACTGGGTCTATACCGACAGCGGCACCACTTCGACTTTTCATTGTCATCGGTGAACATTGGTTACCCGCTTTTCGGACGCATCCTCAATTCAACGCTTCCGATGGAGCTTGCGTGATACACCCTTTCCTGGCTCCTGGATGAGCTTCTGTGAGAGTCTGCTGATCCCCGTCATTCCGCACCGTGCCACTACAAATGGAAAACGTCCCTCTCATTAGGGCTCGCCGCACAGGTCAGTACAGGCGCAGGTCTCTTGTTATTCGATGAAAGAAGAAGGCAACCAGTGGAGCCGGGGAGCTGAAGCGGCTCCCAAACACTTCCCAGCTCCCAGGTGGCCGTGCTTCGTTCTCCGGTTCGCCCCCTGAATTCGGTCGGGCGGAAGAATACTGAATCGATAAGTACTCGTTTTATTCGAGGAGAATAATTTATATTCGTGGATCGATGGGCTCCCGGGGGTTGCGATACTTTGAAAGAGATTTCCAGAGTCTCCAAAAATCGATGCAGCGAGAGCTCCGACATCGACAGCGAGATGGTCGTTCGTTGCATTGCAAAGAGGGCGCTCTCTTACGAAAGCGAAAGCGTAAAGATTAATGCAGGTCAATATCCGGTGCGCCAAAGGCTGTGGATTAGTCACTCTAATATTTCCGGAGAGCCATTGTTTCCGAGCGAGAAATGACATATTCAATGCGATGCTCACCGACGGAGACACACTCAAGGCAGGGCAATAGCGTGTCGATAATGACGCTGAGATCTGGTCCTAGGTGAACACTTTAGGGGTTCACTAGGGATTTCGAGCGGGATCCATGGAAAAACTCATTGGGAGCGCCGTCACTTTTCCTCTCGATATTTGAGAATAGGTACAGTTCACCCTGATTTCGGCGATCCGTCCGAAATTCAGTCGTGTCGTCTCGCTCCATAGACTCGGGGTGGGAACAGCACCGTCACAATAGATCGAACCATCTCACTGAGGCCTCCATTCTCGAGCTCCTCCGAAACCAGAAATTGATTCGCGATTGGGCTGGAATAAGAGAACCTTGTGGGGTGCTCGTCTGGTTCCACCATCGGAGGAGGGGCTGGATACGCGCTGCGTGCTTCTCCTAATGAGCTTCCCCGGTCGCAGGCTTCATCAGGCACCGGTATGTAGTCTGCATGTTCGTCTTCACGGGCTTGGCTCTCGTTTACGCCCTGAGGGTGAATCTTAGCGTGGCGATCATCGCGATGGCCGGTTCGATTCCGAGGAACGGCTCCGAACTCGAAGGGACCTGCATCTTGCCGGAGACGAACGAAACCGCAGGATTGGTGAGTTGACCCAGCGTTTTTCTGATTGCACCTCCCAACCGATTCTTCATACGCTTGCAACGATACCGGAATAATTTCTAAATGTCACCTGAGACATCTATCTCTTTCAAGAGAGTCCGGGGCGACTTCGACTGGAACGAACAGACCAAAGCCGCGATACTGGGCGCGTTCTTCTATGGCTACCTTTCCACGCAAATAATCGGAGGGATAATGGCGCAGAAACTCTCGGTAAAATGGGTTTTCGGCTACGGCATTTTCCTCACATCTGTCCTTTCTGTAACAACGGAATGGGTGGCTCGATGGAACGTGAACGCCTTCATCGTTCTGCGTGTTCTCGAGGGCATAACTGAGGTTAGATACCATCGAGCCGTTCTGATGACAATCCTGCCATGGAATCGGGGAAAGCATGAAATCCCGACCGAAACACCTTATTTCGAGGACTGTCTAATTATGATCTACTTCCTTTGCAGGGCGTCACGGTTCCGACCATGTACTGTTTGATATCTCGGTGGGCTCCGAAAAACGAGAGGACCACTATGTCAATGTTGTGCACCGTAGGCACCAACATCGGCACTGTCATCACAATGCCGATCACAGCCGCCCTGAGTGATTCTGCTCTGGGATGGTCAGCCAGTTTCTATCTCCCAGGTATGGAGGTATATGACCTTGAGGCTTTCCTCCGCTTTTCCGAGGATCTTACCCATTTCTCCGATTTCGAATTCTCCATTTTCCCGGAACGTAGGAGCCGCGGGCATCATCTGGTCGTTGGCATGGTACATCTGCGTGACTTCGCAGCCGGAAAATCATCGGTGGATATCGGCCGAGGAAAGAGAGTATATCATGAAGAATCGCGAGACCTGTCATCTGTCGTCGAAAGAGGTACTCCAGAGTCTTGAGCAAAACTAATTGCGAATGAACGAATCAAAAGTCTGTGCTGCTGTAAGCCATGTATATCGTCGCTCCAACGTTTTCTCTTGTTCATAATTAGATACCTTGGGTCGAGATTCTTACCTCCCGGGGAGTATGGATGTATTCGATAGCTCGCCTCCTCTCCTCTGTGACTTTCTACATGTTCCTGACCGAAATGCCGACTTTCGTAGACCAAGTCTTCGGCATTCCTCTGACCGGCAACGGACTTCTGAACGGCGTCTTCCACTCGATCTACGCCTGCGCGTTGATGGCTTCTGCGGCGCTATCAGACTACATGATCCACAGGAACGTCTGGTCGAGAACCAATATCCGGAAAGCCTTCCAATGTGCGTCCTTCGTAGTCTCGGGTGCCATGCTCATCCTGGCCACCATGGTTGGGTAAGGCGATTGTTTGTGAAAAATGTATTTGCGGATTGATCGCCCCCGAGATATTGCGAACTATTCCGGTCCCAAGAGAGAGTCTGCGTACAAAGTATCGTATCTTATCCGTCCCTGGTCCAGAGGCTCGTTTCGCATAAGCGTGAGCAAGCGAAGATTCTGAAGATTTCTTCGTCTCTTGTCAGATGCGACTATTACGCCGTGACTTTTCTTCTCTGCATCGCATCCGTTGCGATCGCCCTCAGCGGCGGAGGAGAATCCTCGATGGCCCTCGACCTCGCTCCCGACCACGCTGCAAGCGTAGCTGGAGTGGGCAATACGATCGGGAACGTCGCCGCTATCATCGCGACGAATTTGGTCCTCGCCTTCCATGACCCTTTGGTAAGAGATGATGGACAATTATTTATTCGTTTCAAATTATTATAATCAACCAATTTTCCCTTACGTCCCGTGAGGTATACCTGGTAGACCACGCCTCGTCATTTCCTTAATGGCCCGTAGCATCAGATGCGAGCGTGATTTTGTCCCGCCCAATGATGCGCGAGTGACGATCCCTTGATCCGGCGCGTAATCATATGATTAGCATCCAATCATAATGAATTCGTATCTCAATCGAAGAAGCTTCTCCCCCTCCAGAATTCGCAAAGAGGTTGGAATAAGGCTTTCATCGCGACAGCGGGTCTGAGCTTCGTGGGCGCACTTATCTTCGGGATTTTCGCGACAGCGGTCGAGGAGCCTTGGTCTAAGCGGAAGGATTCGGATACGAGCAAATGTGAGGGGAAATTTTCGAGCGGCTTCGATCCATCGGCAGAGTCCACAGTCAGTGTCTACTGATGGCCGAGATTCAGGTGCAGCCTTGAATGTCAGTGAATCACACGACAGCCTCCAGTCGGGATGGAGACACTTCACGACAAACTGATCCCCGCATCTCATCTCGCGAAGAACTTCGCAATAGTTCGGTGATAATGATTATTAGAGGTTCGCGAATCATAGGAGGCGGAAACTCCACCAAGAGCAGGCCGGAAGTCACCGGCGCCATGGAGTGTACTCATCGCAATAAATCTCATGTTCGAGCGTCGAAAATCGTTCCGTATTCCCTTCTTCGCCGCGCCGGGGTACTTGAAAGTCTTGGCTCCTTGATGTGATCTCAGCTCTCTTCTACCATTCTCTGAGCATCGTCAGACTCTGATATCATCAGCCAGAAACTTCCCCTCCCCATTGTTCTCTTCGTGTTTGACAAGAGATTCAGTGTTCCCGAATGAGAATGCCGAGATCGAAAATGCCTTCCCACAAAAGTGCGACAAGAACCAGCGTATTCGGTGTCACTCCCGGGCAGAATCATAATCATGATTTTGCTCATCAGTGGTCGGTGAGAACTCCTGCCTTCTTATTCACGCTTTTCAATTCCAACGTACCGGAGCAGTCCGTCAGGGCCAGACGTCTCTTCGCGCCCAATAATACTTCCAGGGTCTCTCCATTGTTTTCCGAATCGCCAATGTGGCAACTCTATTGCTCAATGGCTGAATACCGCCTTCGCTGATCTCGAGCCTTCCACAATCTGAGCGATAACCTCATTCCACGCGCCTCCATCTTCCAAGAGCCCATGCCGACTTATCCAAATGAATGTCCTTCGCGAGCCTGACTCATCCCATACGCATCGTCATGGCTCGTTTCCGTCGCATCGTCGTGTTTTGTTTCTCATCGGAATCCTTTTCTTGGATTCCCCTGTTGTTCCCTGAGTTCTGAGGTGTCCAACGCAGCGACTCGGCAGGCGGAGTCCGTGTCTCGGTTAGATTTATCCAATCAAATCAGCGCAGTTTCGAACTTGGCGCCATGAGCTCCCGTTCTACCGGGCGAGCGCGGTTTGTCGAACAGCTGAAGAATACCGGGAGCTCGAGTGAGAATCATCGGATTCTCTGTGGGAAGATAGTTCACCATAATGCGCAAGATTGAGGACTCATGATCTTCCACTGCGAAGTCTGAGCGTGCATGTGTGACATCGAGATCACGACTCGTTATGGCAGAAGAAAGCAAGGTGCGCGATGCAGAGAGTGGGGACAAAATTGGGAAACTCGACTCCTGGTCCGTGCATCGCATCTGCTCCGGACAGGTGAGTCTCATCGAGGGGATGCACAGAGTACAATTATTCCGTCTCCGAAACTTATTCAGAAAATGCAATCCACTCGACCCAATGCTTACGTATCCTTCAGGTCATCGTTTGCCTTGCCGTCGCTGTCAAAGAGCTGGTGGAGAACGCTCTGGATGCTGGTGCGAAGGAAATCGTAATTCGAACAAAGGAATTCGGCTCGAAACTCATCGAGGTCCTTTTTATTTCCACTCCAGGAATTTTCCACATGCTTTCCCGGAAGTTCCGCCAGAAAATTCGAGCGTTCCATTTTTTCAGGTCCAAGACAACGGAGACGGAATTCGCGAGGAAAATTTCGATGCTCTCTGCCGGAAGCACTTCACTTCGAAACTACAGAACTTCGCGGAGTTGGAGAACATTCTGACATTTGGCTTCAGAGGTGAAGCCTTGTCGTCCCTCTGCGCTCTCGGGGAGCTGTCGGTGACGACGAAACACGAGTCGAAAGAAGTCGGACACGCTCTGAAGTTCGATGCGGAAGGCCTGCTCTCCGAGAAAAAGCCGTGTGCGAGATCGACGGGAACGACCGTGACCGTGGAGAACATATTCGTCAGTCTTCCCGTCCGCCATAAACAGTTCTTGAATAACTTGAAGAAGGAATTCACAAAAATGGTGCATTTCATGTCAGGATATTGTCTCATCGCTCGGGACGTCGCCATTTCGCTGACGAATATCGATGAGCGGGGAAAACGCCACGACGTTTTGAAAAAACGAGCCCATTCCTCTTTCAAGGACAATATCATTGAAATTTTCGGATTTAAAGAAGCCTCCAGACTCTTGCCCTATGCACAGATAACGATCTCCGAGGAAATAAAGCAGGAATTCGGATTGGGCAACGTGTCCACTGAGCATTTCGATGAAGTCACTGTCGAGGGTTTTGTGTCGAGCAGCGAACACGGCTCGGGGAGGAGTTCTGCCGATCGACAGTTCATCTTCGTCAACTCGAGACCGTGCGACTTTCCGAAATTGACGCGAGTGATCAACGGAGTCTATCACCAGTTCAACTCATCGCAGTATCCCTTCGTGATGCTGAACATCATGACGCCGCGTCACTTGGTTGACGTGAATCTCACTCCCGACAAAAGGATGCTCATGCTCCAGAGAGAGAACGTTATTCTCGCCATGGTGAAAGCTTCACTGACTTTGATGTTCCAGAAGCAAGCCACGAGATACGCCGTCAGCTCAGTTTCGAAAATCAGCTCCTCCTTCAGTCGTCGGGAATCGACGCCGCTGGAACTCGACGGCGACTCACCAGACGAAATTGTGGAGGAGACGCGTTCCCGTCACGCAGCGGCCCTTGAGAAAAAACAAAATTACAGCTCCAGGCGACGATATCGAAGGAGCCGGTAAACCAAGTCTGAGAGATCGGTTCGCCTTCAGGAGCGACTCCGATCGGAGTTCCCGCTCCGCCAAGAGATCCTACAGCGATCTTTCAAGTACGGAAGAGCTCGAACCTCGACCCAACCTGGAGTCTCCAACCCTCGCGTCGTTTGGCTTCACGCGCCACCTGGGAAAGAAAGCGCGGTCCTCGATGGAGACCGAGGGGAGGAGCGACGCACAGACACGAATCGATTCAGCGAGTCTGAAGAGTCGACAGAGAATCTCGGATGAGGATGTAATCGAGAGAACTCCGAAGGATTCAAGCCATTCTCGAGAGAGTAAGCTCTCGGTGGAACAAGCATCAACAGCTTCGCATCCGCTCGTTGGCGCCTTGAAAGAAGGGGAGGACGTCGAGCGATCCACTGGTGCGCGGATCGACAACGAAGAGCTCGACCTGGTAATTTTCTCGGACGAAGACTCGTCAGACCCCTGTGAACTCCCCGCGAACGTTCGACATTCGCCGAAGACCGGTGTCACGCCCGCCTTGGAATCATCTCCGAGTCTGAACGAGGATCCGAAGACGAGCTCAGGAACCGGACGCTTGAGCGATAGCCCCAAGTGTCCAGGAACTTCCCACGAGGTCTCAGCCACAGAAGCTGCCGACGGCATCGAAAAGTCAGATCAGGACATTCCAGCGAGTTCCGGGGGTCAAGAAGACGACGAAGCAGCAGACGAACCTGGAACTGTACTTTTTGTCGATGAGACACCGAAACGCAGAGTCGGAACCCATTTTCTCGATTGGAGTGAAGAAGAAATGTTCCGGGATTTCGCCGATCTAGAGGAGGATCACCGCATCGACACCAATGACGATGCTGGCGCGAGCAATGCGAACCGCAAGATGTTCCGTTTCAGGGCGAGAATATCTCCAAGAGAAAACAGCACCGCGGAGTCCGAACTGATGCGCGAGATCACAAAAGACATGTTCAAGGACATGGATATAATCGGTCAGTTCAACAAAGGATTCATCATAGCCAAATTGAACACCGATCTATTCATCGTCGATCAACACGCGGCCGACGAGAAATTCAATTTCGAGACGCTCCAGGCCACAACAGTTATCGAAAGTCAACCGCTAGCCATCCCCCTCAAGCTGTTCCTGGCTCCAGGGAACGAACAAGTCGTTCTGGAAAACCTACCGATTTTCGAGAAAAATGGTTTCCGTTTGTCCTGCGACGAGGACGCGCTTTGCGGTCGAAAGCTCTCCTTGACCGCGGTTCCTCAATCCGGGCAGTGGGCGATGGGGGCGAGCGATATCGACGAATTGATATTCATGCTCAATGAGAACTACCATCCGAATCGCATGAATTGCAGACCATCAAAAGTTCGAGCCATGTTCGCCATGAGAGCGTGTAGGAAATCGGTGATGGTCGGACACGAATTGCGACCCCGTGACATGAAGCGGGTCGTCTCGCAGCTCAGCGGACTCCAGCACCCATGGAATTGTCCTCACGGCAGGCCAACGATGCGCCATCTTGTGAACTTGAATCTCGTTCATTTGTGATGTTCTGCCTAGCTCTAGGACGAGCCTCTCTTGTGAAATTGTTTATACTGCTCCGATGAAGAGCGACCCGAGAGATTGTGAACTTTGTGAAATGCATGAATAAAAAACCCAATGTTTGAGGGAATAATTTATTGCCGTATACACAAGTGGATGCAGAGCGGCTTCTCGAATGGTACGTTTTCGATATGCTCCGTATCGAGGATCCCGGCTTAGAGTAGAGATCGAGACCTTCTTGGCGATGCGGTGTACATTTCCTGCCATCTCAGAAGCGATGTTGTCCCATCTGTTGGTTCTGTCGAGAACTGGATCGGAGATCTTGTTAGATAAGACTGTGGAATTTCTCCTCGGCAGGAGTTGTCAGATAAGCTGTAAGGGTTATCATGCATGCATGTTTCTAATGGACCTCATTGGCGTCGGAATCTGTTATCAGCTCACCTTTGATACGGCGGTGGAACTTGAGGGGGTCCGGCTACCTGCCAGCTCGCTCGTTGTCCCTGGAATGGGGGTCCACCCCCCATGGGGAGCCTCCTCCCGCCATCCATCGGGTCCATGGGAGGACCGGGAGGGGGACGACGTCCATCCATACAATCCATCATTGGACGTCGCCCGCCGTCCATCGGGTCCATGGGACGCCTCCGGAAATCGTCTTCTTCTCGGCGTCTCCGTTCAACCTCCTCAGCTCGCATGCGCATGTCTCTCTCTCTCTGGATCTGTTGAGTTTGCTCTTCCATTGCTCGCAGTTTCTCACGAAGCAAATTCGCTTCGTGCTCGTACATATAGTAGTCGAGCTGTTCCTCCATCATTTGACGGCACCTGGAAAATTCGAAAGATGCGTCCGATGAGTTCCACGTCAAATCTCGAGGAACAAACAGGGATATAGGAACAAATCCAAGGGAATCCATTAAGGTGATACTCGTCGACTTGTCGCCATGGGATCTTCGGAGCGCACCTCTTATTGTCGTACTCCAACTGTTCCTTTTTCTTGGCTTCCATCTCGAAGAGTCGTTTCCATTTCAAGCCGAACTCATACTCGAAAGAGCCGGGCATAGCCGTCCGCGGCCCTAGCTCCCGCTCGGCATGATAGCTCTTCGACTTGTTGAGGTTGCGTTCAGGGAGACCTTCGTCCTCGTCGCGGAAATCGTACGGCTCCACCAACACGGGCCGGGGCGACGCCGTCAACAAGAGACACTCTTCTTCGCAACGCCTTATCGCCAGTACGGCTGAGCGTTTCTGTGCGAATTCTACGATTCCTTCTCCCGTCGGACGACCTCTCTCATCAGCGATCACTACCGCGCGTTCGATTTCGCCGAACACTGAGAATGCGGTCTCGAGCAATTCGTTGGTAACGTAGTTTGTCAAATTTGAAATCCGAACCGCCGCTGGATTGGATGAAAAACGCACTCGGATAGTCACGCCATCCTTCTTCGCGAAATCAAGAGAGTTCTTGGCGACCTCACAGTTTTCTCGGGTGTCCATTTTGACGAAAGCGAAGTTCTTCGATTTGTTGAAGAAAACCTCGCCCACCTCACCATACTGACTGAACCTGCGGAGGAGACTCGAATAAGCAAAACCTCGGCGAATACTCAATCGAAAATGCAAGACGCCGACGTTTCGGAACACATCGATGGTGAATCCTGTCGAGCGAGCAAGTCCACTAACCATTTCTTGAGCTCGTCCTCGTTGACGCTTGGCGGAAGCGGCGCGACGAAAAGCCGACATCGAGCGGTGAATTTCTTCGGTTCGCTTTGTGTCACCTGGAGGTTGTACGTGTTCCCCTGCATCTCGTAGAGGAGATCTTTGATCGGATCAGGCTTTTCGCCGGGCAGCAGAGGTCTCCTCGCAGGTCTCTCCGGTGGCGGAGGTGGTCCAGAATCTTGGCGATCGTCATAGCCTCGATAATCGTTTTCATATCCGCGACCATCGTCGACGTAGGGTCCCCCACGGTAATCATCTCTCATGTCATGACGGTTCCCTGGGAAATTGATTTCATGAGATACTTATTGACTTAGACTGATTTCATAGGAATACGAAACGAGACTGGAGAAAAGGACAATGACATCCCACAGGGCAATCGCAATCAGGAGCCGCAGTTAAGGCTCGTTCGTTGAAGTCAACCCGTCCGCCGACGGAGAATTTCGTACCACCGACAATTATAGTGACTCAGCCCCGAAGGATGTATCGGAGCCGAAAAATTCACAAAGAAGACATCCACTAGCACAGTCTTGGTTGAATGGAGCTCCATTCTCTTCGATCGTATTAATCCTTCAGCCGTGCGGGAAGGAAGTAAATAGAGGAGCGTTCTATTACATGCCGGGCGCGTCTGTTCCTCTGAGAGCCGTTCTGCGATATCTCCTGGAAATCTCGTGCTCCTCGTCAAAAATGGACTCACCGTAATTGTCGAATCCGGGAGCTTGGGACTGATCCTGTCGGAATCCACCGTCTCTGTAGTCCTGGCGAGAGCCGAAAGGTTCCGCCCTCTGATTGAATGGTTCAGCTCCTCTTTGGTTATACGGTTCGTTTCGGTAGTCCTGGCCGTCGTTGTAGGATTGCCAGACAGCTCCCCCGTATCCCATACTGAAACAGCGAGTAGTTAATGCTGGAGTATTTTTTAGGACACGAATTCTATCGGAGACTCCATTTACACTAGTCGGAGAAAGCTGATCGTTCGAGCGCGGATTCACGAATCAGTTCAGGGTTTCGAGAGGAGTGTGGTTGGCATCCCCGACTGGTCCCGGTCGATGTGAGGCTCCGTGGCCAGAGTCTTCACCCGGCTCCCTAATCCACGATTTCTCCAAAGATCGGACCGGCTTATGAGTCGTGAGGCGCAAAAGCAGAACACTTCGAGGAACGGGCCTTCCGGAGGGACGATGCAGGGGAACGATTCATTCCCTCATCGAAAGCGACAGGTGTGGGCGATCTAAACGGATGCTCAATAAATAGTTCTGCTATCCGTTTTCCGCTGTCCTGGGAAGGAAGCTTCATTCCACTGAGGGAAATTCTACTCACCCGGCGTCCCGCTCATCTCGGGGGGGAGGACCCCATGCGTCACGTTGGTCCCGATAATCGTTCTGGATAGGCGGATAGTTGTTCCGGTTATTGTATACCATAATGATCACTGATCACTCAAAAGACGCTCTCACTCCTCTCCTGTTGGAACTTGACAGACGCGCCGAACACCGAACTCACTACTGGGCATGAATTGGACTTGTATGGGTTTACGCCGTACACTGTGTACGATTGAACGTGAGGTCAATATACGTAAAACTGTCCTTATGCCTATCTACGGGGAGTCCGCACAAAAAGAACGGGACTTGAAATTAAGCAGAAATGTAAACCGACGACGAGAGACGGTGGAAACAATGATGTGGATGATCTTTACCGAGGCTCTGAAGGATTTCGGGCGGCACCTTCTTGTCACTTTTCTCCACCTCGGTGGGTACGAATAATCGAGTTCTGAGACGCAAGGTGCGTGGAGCCGATGGATATCTTGTCGGCAATGATGATTCTGATCGTACGGAATTCAATTCCTTTTGAAGCCGCATGTTGAGCTCGAGCAAACCTAGGGATTCTGCAAGCTCATGGGAACAATTTTAAGATGTCATACATCGCTAGATGAGTCTCTCGTCTCTCACCTCTTAAATCAGTGTTGGAAGAATACTAGAGCACGAGACAAGTCGCCGGGTTTCGTCAGAAACTGGTTCAGTCGTTGAGGAATCCGGAGCTCCGACATCGATATCCTC